GGGATGTGCCACATCCATCCCGGACACGCGGGAGCAGTGCCCGGTTTCTCTTGGCAGCACGTTTTCCTCCAGCACACAGCTCTGGCTATGGATCCCCCCGGCCTGGCACTGCCCAGGGGCACCTCTGCAGAACTCCCTGCTTACCCTGCCACCACCCCACAAACCGGAGTGTGCCCCTCACACAGCACTGCTCCCCTGCCCCACGCGCCAGGGAGCACCAGGGCTTGGCACCGTGTCCAGCTGGGCATTCCCTCCGTTACCCCACGGGGCACTCAGGTACCCAGAGCACCACAGCACTTCCCCGTCTGCCTCCAGAAACGTCCAAAAAGCACCAAAATCTCAAAAAAATCTTGCCCAGGACTCGCCTGCACCGGGATGAGAGAAGGTGAAGGTACAGGCAAGGATGGTGGCAGAGTTTTTACAGCCCCCGGTGGGATGAAGTGCAGGGAGCCCCAGGAGCAAAGGGAAGGGGGAGGCCACCAGGACAGGGACTGGGAAGGAATCAATGTGCCACTGGTGAAAAAGAACTTTAGAAAGGGATTGTGAAGGGTGTCAGGATCTGCTGCTGTACCTGGAGCCCTTGCTGGACCCAAAACTGTGTTTCCTAGCAGACACAGGAACTTCTCCGTCTCGTTCCTATTTCATGCCGAAGGGGGAACAAATGTTCTTTTGCTAAGTAAGGAAGATAAGCAGGTGTATTTTATTCAACCACTATTGGTGAATGTGTGTGGGAGGTCATTGGAGGCCCTGGTACAGGTTCCTTGAGGTCCTTTTGGCGTTCCTTGAGGTCACTTGGAGTTCCCTGAGGTCACCTGGGGTTCCTTGAGGTCACTGGAGTCCCTGAGAGGGGTTGTTTTAGCTCATTTGGGGTTAATGGAGGTTATTGGAGTATTTTTTAATTGATCCAGGGGTTACTTGAGGTCATCAGAGGCTCTGATCGGGGTTACTTGAGGTCACAGGGGTTACTTGAGGTCATTGGAGTATTTTTAAATTGATCTTTTAAATTGATCTCTAATGCCCCAGAGATTTGGACTTCTCAACTGGAAGAAAAGGATGGGAGGCCTTGGCTATCAGGAGCCACCTACAAGGATTACTGGGCTAATATGAACTCTCATCGCCGACTTTATTCTCTGTATTTACCTGCCACACCTGGTGCAGAGACCAGGAAAAGTCGGGAGGGGATGTTTCAAATGTTCCAGGTTGAAAAGTGGAGTTTGTAAAGACAAACTGAGAGATAAAAGGAGGGACTGAGAGGGAAGATGTGTGCTAAGGTGTTATCCTCATCCTGAAGGACAAGATTTAGCAGGTCCTCAGGATTCCCAGGATGTTCTGCTGCCTCCTGAAGTTCTCCTGTTCACAGGGTCACAACCTCTCCCAGCTGCTTCTGAGAATGCCAGACCACAGCCAAGATTTAAATGAACCAGTGTTCATTTAAGTGAGTGTCTGCAGGGCTGTGTTATTTAAAGGAAGAGGCAGGAAATTGTCTGTGTCCATAAACAGCACTCTGCAGAGCTCCAGGTGAGCTGGCCAAGTGCAGAGGGTCTGTTCCTGCTCAGGAAAGCTTCCTCCACACCAAAACCCAAAGGTGGGGCAGCAGGCAGAGTTAAAAACAGTCCTCCAAAGTGAATGGTGGATGCTGGGACTGTCTCTTCTAGCAGCTCAATTAAAGGTTTGTGCTTAAAGCGATCTGAGGACCTACCCAGCCCCTGAGAGAAGAATAACAACTGCAGGAAGAGATAAGTACTCCCCTTTCTGCCTCCCTGGCTGTAATTACACCTGTGCCTCTGAGGCTATTTGTAGTTTCAGCAGCCAGTTCTGGATTCTCCAATGTACCCATTAAACCAGCAAGAGAAGTGGTAAACCGAGCTTGGAGGAAGAGGTAGGCGTTAATTTTGGCAGCATCTTCACCTGGCCTAATCATCCTCAACCACAAAAACACACCCTGGAGTGAGCAAAGCGTCCTGAGCACGGCCAGACCTGGGCTCCTCAAAATAGCAACGGTGCAAAGCTGCCCAGGGAGGTGGGACACAGCTCCAAAGCTCCGAGCTGGGGAGGGGAGGAGGAATCTGTGCCCCCAGGAGAGGGGTTTGCAGACAGCTCAGGCAGGAGCACAGACTGTGCACCCTCAGCTGGGACAATGACACAAATGTGGCCGAGGGAGGGAGAATCCATCGAGTCAAGGCACCACGGAGGTCCCTGGGCTGGGCTTGCAGAAGTGATGCTGGCCCTGGGTGCAGGAGAGGCACCCGGCACATCCCAGAGCAGCAGCCTCGCCCTCAGCCAGTCCAAAAATCCTCACAGGTTTTGTTTGGCCAGAAATGGCCTTTCCCCCAAGGGCTGAGATGTACAAACCCAGCAGGAGATCTCACAGATACGAGGCTGCTTGTGATGCTTCCAGCCTTTCCAGTTTCTGGCTTTGCAAGTGCCAAAAGTGAGGAATTTCTGACAGAGCTTGGACATCGGTGCTCCCAGAGGGAAACAAAGAGCTCAGCACTGAATTAGGGGTACAGATATTTGGGTTTGAAGCCTGTTGTACACTCCAGCCTTGGCCTAATGCATCTCCCAAAAATGTCAGACCCAGAGGTCTCAGGACAGCCCCTCTTCTCCCAGACCTGAGGGGTTTGGGATGATCAGTTCTGCAAGGGGGATGGACCTTCCTCCTTCTCTCACATGAACTGGGCACTGGAGGCTGTGCTGAATTCTTTGCAAACCCTCTCAGCTCCCCAGGGATTGTTCCAGAATTTGGAAAACAATCACATGGGAATGCCATTCAGCAGTGGGGTTTCAGACAGCTCCCCTGTGGCTCCCTCACTGCCTCTCCTGCAGCCTGGGCTCTCTCTGCCACGGCGGGGACATTCCTCAGCACAGCAAAAGGGACGTGCAGCTAAAAAAACCAAACTGGCAAAGGGGCATTTGAGGTCTCTGCCAGCCTCCCTGGGCAGCTCCACCCAAATATAAACTCTGCAGGCAGTTCCAGGCTCGCCTGCACCAGCCCGTGGCTCTCCATCTGTGCTTTCTGTGCAACTGGGAGAGGCAGAGAGAACAGAAATGCTCCAACAGGCAGGGCACTGATGGCATCACTACTTTTAGACACCTCAATCAGTGGCTAAGGCAGAGGGGTGGATTATTCCCAAAGTCTGGGGATAATCCACGCCCTGCAAGCTGCAGGCTGTGCAGGGCCCACCCCTCAGGCTCAGGGGAAAAAAGCTAAGCAAAGAAAGCAGATTTTATTCCCAGTGCTCACACACACCGGGCCCTCCTCGAAACTCCAGATGTCACCTGAGTCTCGTGGCCACCAGAGGAGCAGCACTTTAACCCACTCTGCATCCCAGTGTTTGCTCAAACCCCATTTGCAAACCCGGCTTGCTGCTGCCAGGACCTCAGAGTTCTTTCCAACACTAGTCAAGAGCAGCTCACCCCCTCTCCAGCAATTGGGAAATTGCTTTTTGGGCAATCCTCATGATTTCTGTTTGTTAGCAGCTGTCGGGTGACCCCTCCTCAGGGACATCCTGGATTGAAGGAGCATTTTTTGTGCCTTGCTGTATATTTGCTACCTCAAAGCAGGCCTAGCTTGGGGACCCAATGAACCACCAGGGATTTCCTCAAGGTTCAGAAGGAGTTGGGGTGACAGCAGCTGAACCAAATTCTGTTTCTGCTGCCAGGAAATGCAAGACAGTGAGATGAATCTCTGAACACGTCTGGCACGAGGCAACAACCCTGTGTAAGGTTACTGAGAGCAAACACCTTTCCCTGGTGGCTGCAGCACCTCCTGCCCTGCCAGAGCAGGCTCTGCCTTGGATGTTATCCAAACTCTTCTTTCTCAGTGGAGAACTCCTGCTTCTCCAACAAGCAGCATCCTTAAATTGAATTTTGCCCTCACTGAGCTGAGTTATGCAGCAGAAATGTTTTTCTTCTTCTTCTCAGCCCTAGAGAAGCCTCCCCTTCTGTTGCCCCCAGCACTTCAGAACAGAGCCAGGCTGTGCTGGCTCATGAGAGTTTAAAATGACCAACCCAACGTCCTGCTTGGACAGAGAGCAGTTAGAGACTGAGCAGAAAATGCTGTCAAAGGTTTTAGCAGGTTAAAACCACTCAGCCTGTGAGAACAGATCAAAACCAGGAGCCACCAACAACACCAGAGCTTCCCATCTGCATCCCAGCACCAGCCCTGGGACACCATCAGCTCCTGAAGGAGGAGGACCTGCAGCTCCACTGGAAAAGGAAGGGGAATCTCCGAGTTCCTCCTGTGCCTCTCCTCTCTCCTGCAAGGGGAACTCATCCACTGCCAGTGAGTTTGCTCACACAGGCGATGGCAATGCCAGCTCCCTGGCCAAAATCCTTTCCAAAATCCTTTCAGCAGGATCTCCACGCAGCCAAAGCTCAGACCTTCCTTCCTAAAGAGCCTCACACGTTTCTGTGCCTTCTGCAGCTCCAGGAGCTGAAAGATGCCTCCTTAACCCACAGATCAATTCTGCCCCTCCTTCCTGCTCTTTTTGGGAAGCTCAAATAACCCTCAACCACACCAACAAGGGGGTCTTTCAGAGATGTCCCCCTCTTTTGAGGAGCCAGGGTAGAGCATCCCAGACCCATTTTCCTTCCCAAGGCTCCCAGCTGGTGCCATGGTGAAGGAGAACATCCTGCTGCACCGGGAGACCTTCAGCCCCTCCCTGCCCCCTGGGCAGCTCAGACACTCCTCTGCACTGCTGAAATTTGGCATTCCCACCCCTGCAGACCTTCAGCAGGACCTGGGGCACGTCCCCTGCACGTGGAGCTGCACCAAGAGCCAAGCCCCAGCCCCTGTGCCACCACCCCGTGTCCACCAGCCACCACAGACAGCCACAGGGGACGGGACAAGGGTGGCAAGGGTGGCAAAGGTGACAAGCTTCTTGCCCCCCCAGCTGAGCAGGTGTCCCCCAGAGAAAGGCAGAGCAGAGCAAGGGCAGGAGCAGCTGTTAGTACCTCTCTGCAGGAAAGAGGCCGTTCTCTGGATAAGCCCTGATGGGGAACAAAAGGATGGGAGACAAGGCATGAGGCAGGGAGGGGATGGACTGGAGGTCCAGCAGTGCTGGCAACACCTCCAGGGCAGTGCTGAGAGCTCTGACCCACCTTGGGGAGCAGCACAGAGGCTTGGGGAATATGGGATGGGGGCCTGGAGGCTGCAGTGGATCTCACTGGGGATCAGAGTGGATCTACACTGGGGAGCAGAGCAGGGGCTGGGTTGCCGTGGGGCTGGGACCTCATCCCACAGTAGGAGAAGTGGGTGGAAGGAGGAGTTGGTGTAACCAGCAGAGAGGAAAGCAGTCCTTACCAGACCTCTTCTTTCCAATGGGCTCCCTGAAAGAGAGAAGGAAGAGTGTCAGCAGAGCCAGGGGACAGCTGGGGTGTTGACAAACCCACCCAGGAACGCAGACAGTGCTGCCTCTGGTGGGGCCACTGACCTTTCTCAACCAGCCAATGTCTCCATGGGCATCACCCACCTGCAAACAGCCCCTGCCCCCCTCCTTTCATTTCATAATTTCATGTTTTGTCCTTCCCAGGGTGAGCCTGGGTGCTGGCCTGGCCTTGCAGCTTCCACCGAGCCCCTTGGCACCACCTCAGGGACCCATCCATGGAAGTCTCAATAAAATGAAATAAAATGCAGCCAGGATGGAGTGGAAACAAGCTGGACATTGTTACAGAAACTGGAGCCTGTTGAGTTCTGAGACCACAGACTGTGCAGAGACCTGGACACCACGTCCCAGGTGCAGACACCCTCAGGGGAATCTGTGGGACAGAGCACCCCAAAGATTTCCCCACAGAGGCAGTACTGCAGAGCTCAACCAGAGTTAATTAACAAGCCCCATTAAACTTGCCCCAGTTCAGAGGTACCACAGGGAAGGGAGGCAAAGCACGGGCAGATGAGCAGGCTGGAGATCAGCAGGTGGGAATGGCACCCTGGTGCTGACGGGAATAACTGGAGGCTTTGCCCTGCCTTCTGCTAAAGCCATCACTGTAACTCATCCCCTGCTTCCCTTCCCTGGCTGCTCAGAGTGAGGGGGCAAGGAAGGAGCTGCAATTCCACTTTGCTGCTGGGATGTTCCTGGCAGGGACACAAAGAGCTGCAGGTCAGAAGAGCAGCAGCCCCAGCCCAAGCACCTCAGAGGGGACAGGAGCTCAGACAAGACAGGAAACAGCAATAAACTCCTGGCAGCATCTCGTCCTCCTCCTGGGATCCCTGAGGAGCAGAGAAGGGCAGCAGCAGAGCTGATGTGCTGATCCCTGGCAACTCATGGCTCCAGCAGAAGGGAAGGAAAAAACCACTCTGCCTTCCACTGTAAATCTCATTTAGCCCCAGCCACGGCAGAGTTACACAGCACCAATGCACAGCTGTGACAGGGGGACACCAACCAGCCCCACAGAGGTGCAAAAACTCAGGAATGCTCCTCCAGCTGCTTCCCAGAACTCTGAAGGCAAAGGTTGCTGTGTGACTGGAGCCTCACTTAAAGCTCTGAGCCAACACCACATCCCAGTGGGCTCAGCCCAGTGTCCTTCAAGAACCTCACAATCCCCTGAAAGGAAACTCTGACACATGGAGAACTCTTAGCACATTCAATCATCCCTATGCCACTTTTTTTTTTAAGGAAAAGAGAGTCAGGTTTCTCAAACATCTTCTCTAGGCAGCATCCCTGAGGATCCAGGGATGGGAAGGAGTGAGATGGGGAGCACAGAGGTTGAGCAAAGTGAGCAGACTTTAAAAATAAATTAAAAACAAATACACAGAGGCTGCTATCAACAACCTGTAAGACAACTGTTAAACAACTCACTGCAGGATGCTGGGGACACTGAAATTCTTCATGGACTTACAGGGTCATAATTCAGGCAAGAAATGTTAATTCAAAGTCATCAATTATAAAGCCAGGTCTAAGGAAGAGTTGTTACAAGCTGGCTTGAGTTTATAAACTTTTTCCTAAGGCACATTTGGTGGCTGCTGGGCCAGGCAGGTCCCAGAGCTGCAGGGAGGTGGCCCTGAGGTTGTCACACAGAAAAACCCACCTTGCAGTGGGACTCACAGGAGAAAAATGCCCCCAGATGTGGCTTTGGGGACCTCAGCACTGCCTCTGCTGCCACAGCCAGCTCGTGGAATAGGTGAAGGACTGGAAACCCAACACAATGAAAACAATTCCAGCTGCTGCAAACCCACACAGGAGCCACATCAAACGGGACGGATCTGAGGTCAGCATTCCAAGAAAACATCTCCCTCATATTAAAAAAAACCGTCTTTTGTAAAAAAAAAACAAAAAAAAACCAAAAAAAAACCCCTCCTGCTGTAATACAGTAATGCCTCCAAAATAGCTGTCAGGAGGGGGTTCATCTCCTAAGCATTCAGCAAGCTTGGAGATGTTTGGAAAATTTATGGAGGCGAGGAACAGGGTACAAGAGAGCCCTTGTTTGGGAGAAGTGATGTTTAGCAAATGCTCCAGCAGCACTGAAAGGAGCCCCTGTCCCCACACTCCAGGGCCACTGCAGAGCTGGCCAAGCTGAGCCCTCAGGCTCAGAACCTGCCCTGGTAGCTCAGAAAACCCCAGAAATGTGGCATTTCTGTCTGCTGCCAGCCAGGACAGGCAGCTCGCAGCAAAGGGAAGGAGGAGGCTGTTTTGGAGCTGGGATCCAGCCTGAACTCCTGGTGAATGTGCACATGGGGATCAGCAGAAATGCAAAACAACTTTGTGTACAAGCTGTGATCTGTCTGCAGAGCAGGACACGACCCCTGAGCTACAAGCCAGCAGGAATCCTCATCCAAAGCAACATCCACCAACTCATGGGTCTCTGGTCCACCAGCAAAAACTCCTGGAGTGGCTTCCTGCAGCCCCTGCCACCTAGAGCAGGGACAAAGTTCAAAGGAACAACTTTTAAAGTGTTTTATACATGATGGGCTGCTCAGCTCCCCAAAAAACCCAGTGAAAGATGCTTTTAATTGAAGAGGTTTCTCATGGCCAGGGGGGCATCCCATGTCCAGGTGTGGGAACAGCACCACGACAGCTCCTTCCCCACCACATCCCACTGGTAACTGTGGGCAGTGAATAAATAACTACTTGGTAATGTTAATAACTAGTTACTTGGTAATATTAATTGGTAATAATGTAATTAATTGGTAATAACTTGGTAATATTATTAACTAGTTAATGGTTAATATTAATAATGTATTAATTAGCTATTAGGGCCTTGCTTCTCTACAGAGTTAACCTGGGCTCCCTCATGTCCCAGAGCTGAAATTCAGCTGGAGGAGAGAACAGCTGAATGCCTTGACTCAGCAGTGGCTCCGTGCCCAGCCCCTCAGACTTCCCCAGCCTTATTCCAGCACCTCTGCTGTGGTTAAAAACAGCTCTGAGCTGCAAGGGGTGGCTGGGAGGTGAGGGGAGCACACTCCCACCTCGGCAGCCCAGCATCCTGTGCTGGTCAGACCTGCTGAGGGACGTGGGGAGCAGGAATTTGATGACTTCTGTTCTTTGAAGCTGCAGGGCTTCCATCCAGCACCGAGGAGAAAAATCCCACATCCCTCAGATTGCTAACTTTACAGAGATTTCTTTTTTTTTTTCCATAACCATTTCTCTTCTCCCCCCTTCCCTCACTGCTCTTCACAAATTCCTCTGGATTCAGCCTCGTTCTGCCCCACAATGGGCAGCCCCATGAGTTGGAAACAGTGGATAATTCCAGTCCAGAGCTTGCTGGACATGGATCCACATCACAAAAGCCACCAGCTGTCACTGCCAGTAGAAACCCTGCCACCTCCCTCTGCTCTCCTGCTTGATGTGATACACAGAAAAGCTGGGGAAGGGGAAAGAGGGGATGGAGGGAGGGCTTCACCTCCCTCTCCCACCCACCAAATGCTGGAGACTGCCCCAACTCCACTCCTGGCTGTGACATCCTGCCCAGCTGGGAGCAGTGGGGGAAGGAGGAGGAATAAACTCAGAGTTTGACCCTTTTTCTCTCCCTGGGACAGGCTGGGGCTTGGAGAGCAGGGGGGAGTTTGGGAAGGGCTGAGGACTGCTCGTGTTGTTCAGGAGCTGCACTGCAGGAAAAGCAGGAGAGCCCTGGCTCAGCCCAGGAGAGCTCCAGATCCAGGGAAAACAACACCACAGGGGCCTGGAGAGAAATGCTTGGGCTGTCCAAGCTCCTCTTTCCATTCCCAAACACTGCCAGAAACAAGGACTGAATTCACCCTTTGCAGTTAAAGCAGAACTCCACAGACTGCAGTTAAAGCAGAACTCCATGAGCTGCAGTTAAACCAGAATTCCATGATTTGCACTTAAATCAGAGTTGCACAGACTGCCATTAAACCAGAATTCTACAAGCTGCAGTTAAACCAGAATCCCATGTCTTGCAGATAAAGCAAAATTCCATGAACTGCCATTAAATCAGAATTCCACAGACTGCAGTTAAAGCAGAATTGCATGAACTGCAGTTAAACCAGAATTCCATTATTTGCACTTAAACCAGAATTCCGTGATTTGCAGTTAAATCAGAGCTCCACAAGCTGCAGTTAAAGCAGAATTCCATGAACTGCCATTAAATCAGAATTCCACAAGCTGCAGTTAAATCGGAATTCCACAGACTGCAGTTAAAGCAGAATTGCATCAACTGCAGTTCAAGCAGGGCTCCAAGGACTGCAGCCAGCTGTGGCCCCTGGCAGGGTGTGACACCCTGGGGTGCAGAGGGATGTGTGGAGCCTTTCCTGCACCCAGACAGGACAGCACAGGGTGCACCCAACAGTGCTCACAGACATGTCCCCATCACTGCCACCAGCTGCCACCCTCGTGGGCAGCGTGAGCAGAGGCGTCAGCCAGGGAAGGGATGGGGAGCAGGAAGGCTCCCATGAGAGTGCCTGACCAATCCTTCTTCCCCTCCCTCATTCCCACCTTTCAGCCACCCAGCATAAAAATATTTTCCTTTTTTTTTCCCCTCCTTTCCCCCACTCTGTTCACGGCCTGGCTCCCTTTCAAATTCCCGGAGCAGAGGATTTCTGTGCTGGATGAAGGATGACATCCGGCCCAAGCCCAGACACGTCTGATCACGGCTCCCACCTCCTTAGTGCTGAGCTGGCAGCAGGCCAGCCCTGGGAATGGGCTCCCAGTCCCTCCAGAGGAGAGAGTCAAGGACTTTTATTAATTAACATTTTGAATTGTAGCTCATAAATACCCCTCTGGCATTCGGAATGGGATGGCGACACAACGGGGATGTCCTTGAGATGCTGTAGGGTTTGGCTACTGGAGGCAAAGGGACAAGGGGCACCCACTGGGTCCCTCTGTGTGCTGCAGGCTTGGCTCTCCTCCTGGAGAGGAGCAGGCAGGGAAGCAGCACATTCCCCGTGGAAAGGAGGAGAAAAGGATGCAGCACATTCCCCATGGAGAGGAGGAGAAAGGGAAGAAGCACATTTCCAATGAAGAGGAGGAGAAAGGGAAGCAGCACATTCCCCATGGAAAGGAGGAGGAAAGGAAACAGTGCATTCCCCATGGAGAGGAGGAGAAAAGGATGCAGCACATTCCCCATGGAGAGGAGGAGAAAGGGAAGAAGCACATTCCCCATGGAGAGGAGAAAGGATGCAGCACATTCCCCATGGAGAGGAGGAGAAAGGGATGAAGCACATTCCCCATGGAGAGGAGCAGGCAGGAGAAGCAGCACGACCAGCACTGGATTCAGCATCACCTGCTTGCCCACCCAGCCCTGCAAAGGCCAAAACTCACAAATGCAACAGAATTCTGCACCCTGTGGATCGTCCCACCACAAAAACGTGTTTGGGACTGGGCTCCAGGCAGTCCCTTGTCTCTCAGAGCCCAGGCCGGGAGGTGACAGGGCACTGGCCCTGATGGCTGCAAGGACACAGGGCTGGGAGCTCCAGCTGCAAGCACAGCAGCTCACAGGGCTGCCCCACTCAGCACCCAAAGGCCTCCCCCCACACCTGATGCTCTGGCCACAGTGCTCACCCTGCCTCATTTCTGGCTCAGCCTAAAAGACAAATTAAAGGTGAGGAGAGCGGGTGTGAGACTGAAGCTGCCCTTCCACCCCCCGTGGCTGCAGGCAGGTCCAAGAACTGACTCCTACTGCAGAGCAGCTCCTCCTCCTCCTGAAGGGCTCAAAGATCTGTGCACAGACAGTGCCCCATACCCCAAAAAAAAAAACCCCTGATATCCTTGCAAGCTCATCTTGCCCTGGTGTCCCTTGCTTGTCCTTGGGACGATCCATCCCTGAGGGATGACCTCCTCTGAGGGATGACCTTCCCTGAGGGATGCCCCTCCCTGAGGGATGACCTCCTCTGAGGGATGACCCATGGGGCAGCAGGTTAAGTGGTGAGCAATAGCTGGGCAGGACAGATGAGAGCATCAGCAACAGCAAGCAATTAGTTAATGGGCTCTGGGGCTCTCAGACCAATCTCATCAGTGACCACGAGCTGCAGGAGAAACGATGACAGGCCAAGCCAATAGAAACAGGAGCCAAAGGAGGAAAGCAGGGATGGGGGAAGGGGGAATTAAGAGAGGGAATGAAAATAATCAAAAACCCAGGGAGAAGATGCAGTCCACACAAGCACAAAACTGAGCTGAAGACTTGCCAGGCTCAGCTGATGCTCGGGGGAGAAAAACAAAATCCCTTTATCTTCCTCCACACCCTTCCAATAGAGAATGGTGTCAAATCAATTTATTGCCTTTCCCCTCTCAATCAATCAGGCCTCCCCCACTGCTCAGGAGCCGTGTCACATGCAGCAGGGAAAGGGAGAGCAGCAGAGCAGGACACGGAGGCGGCTGCTCAGATTTGTGCTGCTCGTGATCAGTAGGAGATGGGTGGCTCCTGGCCAGAGCAGCTCACAGTCACAAGACTTAGAACCACACCGAGTTGCATAAGGCACGCAAGATTCCCTGCAAACCTTCCTGGCTTTGCCTGGAGAGGCTCTGGAGTGTTGTTATGCATGGGGCTCGTGGATATGGCTGAGGGAAAATGCCCTTCCAACGAGGCAGAGGTTGGTGCAAATGTGTGAAGCGAGGCTCTCCAGGCTGATCGTGTTCCTGAGTGGTATTTGCAAATAGAAGGGGGCTCAGGAAGAGACCAACACTTCATGGGGTCCCAGAGAAGTGTTTCCACTTCCCCACTGGACAAAGGTGTCCACACTGAGCTGCAGAGCTTCTCCACCAAAGTCTCCAAATCCCAGATCTGCGACTGGGAATTGCTCATCAACACCAGAGTGATGGATATCACCAAGTCCAGGGCAGTTTGTGTCTGATCACATCCCAGTTCATGTCTCATCACCATCCCAGTTCATGTCTCATCACCATCCCAGTTCATGTCTCATCACTATCCCAGTTCATGTCTCATCACCATCCCAGTTTGTGACTCATCACATCCCAGTTTGTTTCTCATCACCATCCCAGTTTTTCTCATCACCATCCCAGTTTTTCTCATCACCATCCCAGTTTGTATCTCATCACCATCCCAGTTTGTCTCTCCCATTCCCAGTGTGTCCCCCCCATTCCCAGTGTGTCCCCCCCATTCCCAGTGTGTCCCCCCCCCATCCCAATGAGTCTTTCCCCCATTCCCAGTGTGTCCCCCCCCATTCCCAGTGTGTCTCCCCCATCCCAGCAGTGGCTCCTCACTCTTTTGGGGGGGTCAGGTCATCGGGCCGTGTCTCGAAGAACTGCAGCACCTCCTCGCACTGGGAGATGTAGGGGGGCAGCTGGATCAGAGCCTGGGGAGCAAACACAGACAGAGGTGATGGAAACACCCAAACTGTGCAAGGAGCCCAGGGAGGTGCAGGGACTGGGACAAGAGTGGGGTTCCCAAGCTGGAGAGAACCACAGCCAACCCAGAGAGCCCCACTTCCACCCACCACCCCAGTCTGCTGCAGCTCAGACTAAAGGGAAACAAGCAGAGACTGGCCAGGCCCTGCTTAGCCAGCTCCAGCTTTTTGGGCAGATGTTGTGCCAGGCTGAGAGCCCCGGGGTGTCCATCCAGCCTCCCAGCTCAGCCTGCCAGCCTGGAGCAGCCATCCTTGGGAAAGGCTGGGCACTTTACACGTGGCAGACTCTCAGTGCCACCCCAGCACATCCTAAAAATGCTTCCCTGGGCAATGGCAGCTTGGGCAGGGGCAGGGAGAGAAGCAAAGGAGGCAAAAGCACAAGACAGCAGGGCTGGGAGGCTGCTCTGCTGCTGTGGAATGGCAGGAGATGTAAAATTCCCTCTGCTTTCTTTCCCTTCAGGGAATCTATAGTAAAAAAGCTTCAGCAGTAGGACCTGCAGGGTGAGAGTGCCTGGCTGGGAGGGCAATGGATAAAGGGAGTATTTAAAATCAGGGAGCAGAGCTGCAGCCTGACTTGGAGCAGATTTATAACCAGTTTTCTGTGCAATTCCTCCTCCCCTCTGCCTGCTGTCCCAGCAGTCTCGTGACAGCAGCGTGGGCAAAGCAAACCTCCCCTCATTTCTCTCCTGGAGACAAAACCACAGCTGCAGAGCCTCGGGGTGACCACAGAGATCAGATGTGGCTCCTTACTGCCCCGAGAGCTGGCCCCAGAGCCCTTCCAGCACCGAGCAGCCAGTGCCAGCACAGCAGACTGACAGACCACTAATCATGGGCCAGACTGAACGGGATCATGTGAGGCACAGCAGAGAGAAAACCACTCCCTCCATGGCTTTTGGGCCCAGGGAAGGGCTGTTCAAATATCAGGTTTTGCATGGATGCCATTCCCATGTGGTACCACTGCCTAGCTCCAGCATCCCATGACCTAAGTGATTCCCCCGTGCCAAAACCCCGGGGATTTTGTGGCCTGGAGAAGGCTCAGTGCCCTCTGAAAGGAGGGGATGGTCCCAGAGCTCTCCCTGTGCTGGGAGAGGAGGCACAAAGCCCACAGCTCATTTTTCAGGATGTTCTGAAGGAAGCCCACCTCGAGCTGACTCTGCTGAGCCAAGCAGGCCACCCTGATGTCTGTCCCACCCCTGGCCCTGACCTGGCAGGGCCAGCAGGACACAGCTTTGGTGCCACAGCACAGTCACCTTTCCCACCCTGCTGCCTGCAGGCCTGAGGAGAAAGTTCCAAAAACAGAGGATCCCTGTCGGATTAAAATCCATCCTGCAGGCACTGAGAAAGGATTTTCTTTCCTTTCTCAGAGCAGCAGTGCTCTCAGTGGGCCACACACTCCCTTTGGGGTGGAGCATCACCACTCCTTCATCAGCCCCCCTCTAACCCTTTCCCAAAATCCCTTAGACAGGAGGAAGGCAGGTCCCACACCACGAGGAAGGCCAACAGATGTGGAGCACAAAGAGAATAAACTGGAGAAATGGGAAGGCATTTCAGGCCTCTGCTCCCTCTCCTTGCCAATCCCATGGTTGTCTGAAGTCCCATCTAGCAACTCACTGCTCTAACCAGCTTGCTCTGATTCCTTCGCTGCTTTTCCTGCACTTTATCTTAAATTACCAAGTTTTTAGGAGCTGGAACAGAGCCCTTCAGCAGGAGCAGTGCCCTGTGAAAGCAGTGGCTCCCCCACTTGCTCCTCTTGCCTGCTTCCACCCCAAATCTCACCCATCCTCTTTGCAGAGAACAAAGACACCCAACTTCCCTCAGAGGAGATGGCAAATAAAGCAGAAACTTTCCCACATCTTCCTCCTGCCTATCCCTTGCTCGTTTTCCATCTCTGCAGCCCCTGGGCAGTCCCACAGCCAGCTCAGCTCAGCTGCTTTCCGGGTAAGCAGCAGCAGCTCAAGGCCAGGAGGGAGAGCTGGGAACTCCTGGAGATGCATTAACAGGAGGAGGAGAGCACAGCTCCCTAAGTGGGTCATATAACATCAGCCATTACGTCCCTCCTCTTAATTCAGATGGCTTCATTATATTTTATGCCACTAATGGCATCGCTCTGAAAGAGGCAGCTGAAGCATTTTATCACTGAGGGACCTTTTCTTCCCCAAAATGGGATTTATGGCCGTGCCTGTCTGTGTAGCTGACACAGTTCACAAGGGCCAAGCACCACCAGCTTCCCCCAGGACAGCTCAGAGCCCACCTTGCACCACACCTCCATCACTCTGCCCTCAGCTGCTGGCCTGGCCCGCAGGGATTCCCATCTGCAGCCCCTCTGCAGAGCTGCCAGGATGCATTTCCCAATCCATCTCCATCCCTGGAGTTGTTATTCCAGCCACAGCCCCCCTGCCATGGGCCTGGCTGAGCCCCAAACCCCACAGCCTCCCCCCACCAGGCAAAGGCACTGCCACACCTCCCTCACCTGAGGGATGGCATGGGGATTTCACCATTTCCCTGTGGGAACCCAGAGCATCCCTCTGGGTGCCCTGGCAGCTCTGGGACCCTGGCAGGGGTCAGGAACCCCCTGGACAGAGCCCCCAGAGACACTGGCTGTGATCTCTGCCCATGGAAAAGAGTTTTCAATCTTACAGGATCAATTACCAGCTCTGAGTGTTTGATATAAGGAATAATTAAGTGTGGCATGGGTGCAAAAGTAAAATTTTAGGATTCCAGATTAGGGGTCCAAAGGGGACAAGATGGAGGAAATTGGGTGTGCCTTGTCCTTTTTCTCCTTTTTCATGCCCTCCATGTCTCACTGTGGTGTTGGCATTTTTCTGTTGGTTCAGGCTGGGGACACACTGTCCAACGTAGGTGACAGATATTGGCACGTTCTTGTAAATCCAGCCCAGGGAGTTTCTGGTATTTAATGTTTGTCACATCCCACTGAGGGCAGAGCCCCACACGCTGCCCTGCAGGACAGAGCTGGGCAGGGCAGCAGAACATGTGAGAGATAAACAGAATAAACAACCTGGAAACCAGCACAGACCAATTCTGGCTTCTGCTTTGGCAGGGGGCTGACAGTCAGAGACTTTCTACAATCTCAGAATCATCAATACCTCAGATTCTGACATTCCCCTATCTTCTCCCATGAGTTTTACAGGTTTTGCATAAATTTCCAACAACATTCAGACTGGATTTTGGAGGTACCAGTCCGACCATGGCTGCTGCAAGCACTAATGCACATCTTTGACATGACGAGATGTGACACACTGGATTTGTGTGAAAATAGCTTGTCATGGACTTCAGTATTTTGTTTCTCCTGCCAAAAATAAATCTGCCCTAAAATCATAATTTCCCTTACACTTCAGCCCAGTTTTATATCCTTTAAGAGTATGGAGCAAATTGTCTCAGCCTTCTCTCTGTTCCAATAATTTTCTGAGGTACAAGTCATCTTACCCTGTTTTTGTAACCAGCAAGTGGAGTCTGCATCCCAGTTTGGAGCCACCCCACCATCCTACAGCTCCAAGTGCTGTCTGCTGCATCAAACAGAGGCCTTTTCCCAGAAGATGGGAAAGGAGGAGCTGAGTCCTTCAAACCAAGTGCTGCATGGAACCATTTCTCTCCAAACCTGTGGAGATGGACACAGCCAGGTCCTTTGCAGCCCTTCCGGAGCTGGCTCTGCTTTGCAGCTGGAGAAGGGACAGAGGAAGGCAAAGGCCAGCAGCAGGGAGCAAACTGCAGTGGGCTTGGGCACCCCTGAGCCCTGCAAGGCCAGGTCCCCAAGTCCCCAGCATGGATCACGAGGAGGGAAAAGCTAAACTCTGTGTCACTCTGTGTGACTCTGTGTGACTCTGTGTGACTCTGTGTGACTTTGTGTGACCCTGTCACTCTGTGTGACTCTGTGTGATCCTGTCACTCTGTGTCTGACCCTGTCACTCTGTATGACTCCATGTGACCCTGTCACTCTTTGTGTGACCCTGTCACTCTGTGTCACTCTGTGTGACTCTGTGTCACTCTGTGTCACTCTGTGTGACTCTGTGTGACCCTGTCACTCTGTGTGAGTCCGTGAGACCCTGTCACTCTGTGTGACTCTGTGTCACTCTGTGTGACTCTGTGTGATCCTGTCACTCTGTGTCTGACCCTGTCATTCTGTGTGACTCTGTGTCACCCTGTCACTCTGTGTGTGACTCTGTCACTCTGTGTCACTCTGTGTGACTCTGTCACTCTGTGTGACTCTGTGTGACCCTGTCACTCTGTGTGTGACTCTGTCACTCTGTGTGACTCTGTGTGACTCTGTGTGACCCTGTCACTCTGAGTGAGACCCTGTCACTCTGGGTGACTCTGTGTGATTCTGTGTGACTCTGGGTGACTCTGCGTCACTCTGTGTCAATCTGTGTGACCCTGTCACTCTGTGTGAGACCCTGTCACTCTGGGTGACTCTGTGTGATTCTGTGTGACTCTGGGTGACTCTGTGTCACTCTGTGTGACTCTGTGTGACCCTGTCACTCTGTGTGTGACCCTGTCACTCCGTGTGACTCCGTGTGACCCTGTCACTCTGTGTGACTCCATGTGACCCTGTCACTCTGTGTGTGACCCTGTCACTCTGTGTCACTCTGTGTGACCCTGTCACTCTGTGTGTGACCCTGTCAGACTCTGTGTGACCCTGTCACTCTGTGTGTGACCCTGTCACTCTGTGTCACTCTGTGTGTGACCCTGTCACTCCGTGTGACTCCGTGTGACCCTGTCACTCTGAGTGAGACCCTGGCACTGGCAGCCTCACCTTGCAGTACTCGTCGATGGGGATCAGCCGTTTGACCGCCACGTCGCGGATGTGGCTCCGGCGGAACAGGATCTTCCCTGAAACACCAGAGCAGACAGGGGCAGGTCAGCACAGCACTCTGGGATCACTCTGTCAGGACCTTTCCCTGCATCCCCCTTGCTCCCAAAAGCACATTCCCATAAAAGCCCACTCCCTCACACGGATTAAATACCTCACCAGAATCAGGCACAGTGCAAGCAGCAAGGACCTTCCAGGAGAGGGGAAACACCTCCCAGCAAACTGCATCCCCCTGGTCTCTCACCAGTGTGCAATGATGAGGAGCAGCCCAGAACTCACAGAATCATACAGCCACCAAAGCACACCTCTCTGTTTGTCTCTAGGGTGGACAAAATCCCTGGCAAACACTGGCAGGACATCCCTTGTCCCGTTGTCCAGGTGTCCAGGTCCAGTGTGGGCAGCAGCCAAGCCAGAGGGTTTTTCCCTGTGCAGCTCCTGGTCCTGGAAGCCACAGTGTCTGCAGCTCTGAGTCAGACCTATAGAATTTTCCTTCCTGTCTGGGGTTTATTTTTGTTCTCCATTAATGGGATCCTCTTGCCACTCCGTTTCCTCCCCTCTGGCTCATGGTACAGGCCTCTTTCCTTTGAAGCCTAATGAGTCCTAAATGCTTCAAGCTGCTCTCTCAGAGAACAGCTTCTTTGGTTTAAGGAGACAAATGCCATTAGCAGACAGGGAAACAGATCCCTGATCAAAAGGGTTGGTACTGGCAGCATTCCAGACCACTTCCCAAGGCTCCAGGAACTGGCACTGCTCTGCAGCACAATCACCTGGAAAATTGTGGTTTGGGGGGGTGGGTGGCAGTGAAGTTCCCTCAAGTTCCTCCTGGCATCTCCAATACCACATGAAAGTGTTTTTTGTGCCTGGTTGAGTTTCCAATCCCATCCCTGAACCCAAGGAGAGTAACAGCCCCTTCATTTATCAATGGGGTCACCACAGGGCAGCCCAGGAGCCAAACTCCCCTCACTCCACCCTTGCAAACCACGTGAGAGCAGGGAAAAAGCACTTGGGAGTCACACCATGGCTTTGTCCCTTTGTCCCTTTCTCCCTGGAATTACTGAAGCCAGGGCTGGGTGCTACTAAGAACAGGACACAGAAAAATGGTCACACAATTCTGACAGTTTTAAAGCCAGGGCTGAGTCACTGATCAGAATTTGAAATCCAGGGCTGGGTGATTTATCCCAGTTTGAAATCCAGGACTGGGTCACCCCCTGTGCCTCTCCCTGGCTTGGCCAGCAGCTGGATCACGGGTGACTTGTGCAAGCTGCCAATGCATTTTTGAAGCAGAGAGGAACAAAAGCCAAGCCAACTTCAGCTTGCAAAGAGCACGAGCAAAAACCTTCTGGAGGAGCCAAATCTCCTGCCAGGCTCAGTGAATGCTTTGGAACAGGACTGAATCCACTCAGGGGCAGCTCCATCCTTGCCCTGCAGTGAAGGGGATGGGGTCAGGCCAGCTCAGCCCAGGATTGCTCCTAATTCTGGGCCCTTGGCAGCAGGGCTGGGACACTGATGGTGGAAAATGCTCTGCTCTGCAGTGCTTTCCTTCTCAAAGCACGCCAAGAAGAGCCAAATCTGGCAGCCTTTGTGACAGAGTGAGAATAAAATCCCCCTCTATTCAATCTTCTCCTATTTTGAGGGTGAATAGCCTGGGAGCAGCACCCAGGCTGGAGCTCCATCCCTTGCCCTGAGCAGTTCTTTTCCATCTGACAAGAGAATGATCCATTTTTGCCTTTGCATCAGCAATCCCAGTGTGTCTGCTGCCCAGGATTCTGTTTGAATGATGATTGCTAAAAAGATGAATGGATCACACCATTGGTTCTGTTGGCAGGGGTAAAGAATGGCTGTTTTGGTTCTAGGTCTGCCAAAATGAAATCACTGATGGGTGGGTAGGTTATAAATGGCTGGAATAATAAGCTCTGGGAGTGGGAATACTGAAATGTTTAACAAACATATGCTAGTGAGTAATAATAAAAAGAATACAGTTTGGGGGAATAAATTCATCACAAGTGATCTTAAATTAGCCCAGGCATGGAGCATGTGAACCAGCAGGAAATCCAGCTCCTCTCTCTATTTGCTCTAGATCTGGTATTTTTCAACAAGGAAGTTGATTTTCTATCCAAAAGCTGACTTTAATCAAAATACCTAATTTACATAATTGCAGCCCTTTCAGTGCTGCCAAATCCAGCAATGGCAACCCTTGAGTTGAGAGGCAGGAGAGAGCAGGAAAGCACTTCCCTCCTGGAAGGGAAAGGTGGGATGCAGGGTCAGGGGGATGCAGCTTTTCCCTGGGCACGTTTTCCTTGGCCCAGAGCTAAATCTGGGAATAGCAGAGCTGTCCATGGGGCTTTTCCCATGGCCCAAGGCAACAAACCCCAAGGGGAGCACGGCAGATTGAGGGGTGCAGAGAGCACAAGAATGAAGCTGCAGCTCCAGGGGATGGCTCATTCCCACCCCCCATTGCCAGCACTCTCTCCCTGATGAATTTTTAGCTGCTTCCAGAACCTGTAAGGATCCTCAGCCAGGTTCTGGCAGTGCCCAAGGCCAGGTTGGATGGGGCTTGGAGCTGCCAAGATAGTGGCTGTGCCCTGCCGTGGCAGGGGTGGGATGAGGTGACCTCTAAGGTCCCTTCCAAGCCCAACCATTCCATGGTTCCACGATTCCCAACTCATTTTTGCCCTCCTAGCACTGCTCCTACCTCAGGATGAGGAACAGCAGGGACAAGACATGTGGAGGGAGTGGTGATGGGGTTTTCCATCAGCTGCAAAGGCCAGAGCTGCTGCAGGCTCCATTAGCCCAGCTTCTCCCCCTTGTCACCACGCCAGGACTCAGGAATAATTAGATTTTCTTATTTCCATAGATAACGTTATGCATAAGCAATGAGCAGGCTCCATCCCTTGGCAGCAGGAATTCCCTCCAGCAGGAAGTGTGCTAAAATTCACTGTCCTTTACCCAAACAGAGCTGAGGGAACACTGAACATTCATCACCCAGGAATGTGTCAAACAAGTTGATTTTGGAAAAAGAGACTCAGATAAGGCTCTAACACACAATGGCTGTGCAAGCGCCCACGCTCCAGGATGTCCTTTTTCTGGACTTTCAAAACCTGTTAATCCCTCCAAAGGAAAAGAGAAGCTCTGCTGAAGGGATTCTGTCTGGCCATAAAAATTCCTCTGGTGCCAAAAAGGAACTTTTCCCCAGGAGTGGAAGAACCAAACTCCTCTGTGGGTAATCAAGGCTGATCTGCTTTATCTGATTGACCCAAAAATTGATGGAGCAGCTCTCAAAGAGGGGGTGGGGGGCTGTTGGAACTTTGGCTTGGTTTAGGGGTTTTATTTTTTTAACTTGTGCTTCTAAAGAAAACTTAGCAGCTTTTTGTTGTTTGGTTTTAAGGTAGTTTTTTTGTAAGTTATTTAAAAGATTGTGGTTTTTTTGGTTATTGTGGTTTGGTTAGTAGCTTTGGTAGAGGTATACATATTTTTGACACCCTCTCTGTCTGCTGTTTTCTTTTTTTCTCCCCCCGCCCAGGGTTGTTGTTATTTTTTATATGATATATCTTATGTGATATATGTTTATAGTTTTTTTCTAATATTTTCTACTTATATTAAATGGTGTTTTTTTTATTCTCAACTAATTAATAAGTGCTAATATTATTAAGAACATAGAGGTAAGGAAGAGGAAAGAGGAGGAACAGGATTGGTTTATATTCTTCTATTTTAAAATTTTTGACCTCTATGTATAAAGTAAAAACTCCTTTGTATAGGTGTTAAAACTTCTTTGAAATAATATTAAATTTTTTTTTTCTTTTTACTTTGTAACTACTTCTACTATAATATTTAAACTTTTGTGACTCTTTGTTCTACTTTTAAAGTTAGTAAATTATTCTATGGCTTAAACCCAAAATCCCAGCTGTTTCCAGCTGCCTGCCAGGGTTTTAAATGATTCTGACCTGGGCTTGGAACCTCCAAAAATGTCTGAGGGACATTTTGAGTTCCAACAGGGGGCTGGAAAAAAAAATGCAGCCTGGCCCCCACTGCCTCAGGCCCTCATTGGGATTGAAAAGTGTCAGGAAACCTCGGGGGAAAAGGCTGATAAGGAATTTGGGTCTCCAGCAGTGTGAGACACAGCAGGCAGGCCACAGGAGGAGTTCATCTCTCCAAATAAACAAAAACAGGGAAACAGGGCTCTGCAAATTGTTCCCTCCTGTGGGAATTCTCCAGGCAGAGCTGGAGTTATACTGGGAGTAAGGAGATGGGGAAAAAAACAAAACAAAACAAAAACCAAAAAAACAAAACAACAACAACAACAAAAACCCCCAAAAAACCCCAAAACCCCTCCCTAAACCAAAAAAAACCCAAACAAACAAACAAACAAACAAACAAAAATAAAAAAAGAAAAAAAAAAAAGAAACCAAACCAAACCAAAAAACCAAAACCAGGCACAGGGACCTAAAGTAGTGAAACTGTGGGGCCAAAGGCTGGATCTGCAGCAAGCTGAGAACCCCAAAGCCATCCCCTGGCCATCCCAGCTGGAAGCAAGGCAGGGATTCCCAGGGAGGAAAAGCAGCTGTGCCTCCTGCTTTACCCTGGAGGAGTCCCCCACTCTGCCCCCAGCCCACGGCCTCGGAAAGAATTCACTTCTCTGCACCTTTCAAATCACATCCAGACTTTCCCCAGCACGGGTTCCAAACTCACTTCAGGAAAAAAAGGCAGCCCTGAATGTACATGTAATTAATCCCAGCCCCTGGAGCAGCCAGCTATTCCTGGGATGGGGGATCAGCCATGGGAGATGGTGTTTCCAGGAGTCCTACACTTAATATCTGCTCTGTGCAGGGCTTCACACTGCCCTCTCAACCCGCTGTAGCACACATCCCATCTTTTTAGAGCACAAAATAGCAATTAGGACCCTTGCCCCATCTCCAGCTCAGAGGAAGGTGCAACAGGACTGAGCAAAGTCAGGTACCGTAGCTGGAAAATTCATGAGTTTTCCCCCACTGCCCTCACAAAGGGTTGGTAGGAGCTAAAGCACCCTCACAGTTATTCTGGAAGAAAAACCCCAAGTTTGTGGGTGGCACTGATGCCCACACCCAGTAGGCTGGTGGGCTGGGAAGGGAGCAGAAAGAAGGCTTAATTCTGCTTTTAAAAAAATCACCTCCCCAAACCTCCTTTCTCCTGCTCCCTTCTCAGGACTCCACTCCTGTCCCAAGCAGCTAAATCTTCCTAAAAAGCAATTTTACAGCCAAAGTGAGCTCAGCCTCAGGCAACCCCTCCTTGCCGAGGCTCACGTTTCCAGCCAGGATCTCCTCCAGGCCGTGGGGCTTGGAAGGCTCCACGTTCCTCAGAAAAGCTTTTTCCTGAAGGATCTGGCACAGCCCTCCCCAGCTGAGCTCATTTGTTTTCTCTGCTCCTTCTCTCCTGGGGTCTCCACGCCGTCACGTCCCGGGCTGGAAGGTTGGGGTGGATGTCCCAGCTGGGCACCAGCAGGGCTCTGCTCCTCTGAGCTGCCCCAGCACCACCACGAGCTCTGCCAGGGGCTCCAGGCCAGCTAAAAGAGCTCAAAGAGCACTTCAGATTCCCCCCAGAGCTTCTGCAGGCACACAGCAGGGAAATCCAAACCCCACCACGCTCTGCTGGGCGGTGGAGGTGGTGCCAACACCCAGCAAGGGACAACCCCTGGCCCCAAACTCAAGGGCTCTGCTTTGGAGGAGCCAACCCTGCGGCTCCACCAGAGCTGAGTGGGCTGAAGGACTTGCACTTACAAAAACCCCTTCTGATAGCATCGAAGAGCTGCTTCGAGAGGCCAGAGTCTCCAGAAATTTCCCTTAAAAAGTCAAATCCTCAAAGCAAGGCACTCGCAGAATGAGGCAACACAAAGGCAGCAGAGTTCCTGTGGGCTGGGTGTTGTAATTTGGGGCAATCCTGGAGCTCCTTGCCATTCCAGGAAAGCAGCCTGACAGACAGAGCCCGTGGCACCTCCTCAGTGGTGGTGCTGCCCCTCAGCTTGGGACACTCTGGGGTTTGCTGAGCCAGCCAGAGTTGCAGGAGGCATTTTTGGGAGCTGCTGATGCTGCTGTGCAAGGGGCTTCCCACAAAGCAGAGGACTTGCAGGAAACCACAGCGGCCAAATCTCCCCTGCTAATGAAATTCAGATGCTCCAAATGGGATTGGGAACAAACTCCAGCATTCCCAGAAGCTGAACACGAGCAAAACCCCAGCAAGTCTGGGGAGACAGAACCACGTTTTTGCAGAAAACCAGTCCCAGGCTGCTTGACTGAGCTCACCTGGGCTCAGCCCTGGGCTGAGAGAGACAAAACTCATTGTCAGCCCAAACTGGGAAGGCAAAGAACTTCTCCAGAAAGGAATCAGGCTCCAGTACAGCCAGAAAATATTAAAAGAGCCTTCCTTCCCCGCAGTGAAATCCTCTTTCAGAAGCAGGGCTTGCCCACCCTGCCATGGGGGAGGTTCAGGCTCAGGTGCCCAGGGAATGCCACCAGCTCCTGAGTGCTCCAGGAGCCACCACCCATTCCCACCTCCGAGAGCACAACCTCCCCCAGGCACAGCACTCCTGCAGCTGGCCCAGCCCTTCTTTCCCAGAATTTCCACCCCCTTTTTTCCCACAGTGGAAATCCCAGTGACATGTTTCTGAGCAAAGGAAACTATTCCAACACCAAGGAGAAACAAATACTGGTGAGCGCGAGCAGCAGAGCTCTGACCAGGCTTCCCTCCCAAAACCAGCAGCGTTTTGGTGGGAATTTTCCTCAAGTGCAGCATGGCCAAAGCACATATCCCATTTTTCCAAGTGATGCCCTTTGCCTGTTTGGCTTCCATCTCTCCCTGCTGGCAGGAGCACTTGCACAGCAAGAGCTTTTCTGCTCTAACTCCAGGTGAGCTTTGCTTTTGCTGATGTTACAATGCCAGGACCAGCCAGAATCAGAAACCCAGACCAGATCCTCTTGCTTAGAAAGGGGTGGAAATTATTTTTATTTTTTTTTTTAGAGAAAAGCAAAGCTCACAAAGGCCTTTATGTTTCTAGAAGAGCCAGGAGGCAGAGCACAGCACAAAGGGCTGCACTAAACAGACCTGACAGCCACTGGAAGTGATTATGGTGCTGTGACATTCCTAAATATCCTCATTAGCTGCTCAGGGCTGGGGGTAAAGACAACTCTGTGGTCAAAAAGACTCCCCACAGGCTGCTTATTTTCCCAAGGCACATTAGGGCTCTTTTTGCCCCCCCCAGCAGCAGCCACCACACCACAAAGTGCCACGGATTATCACATCTGTTCTCTGGGCATAAAACCACTGGTGCTGGACATGTGACAGAAATTTAGTCTTTGAGAATCCCTCCCAAGCCAAGGCTGGCAATCAGTTTGGGTTCCACTCTTCCAGAGAGAAGGGAAGAACACTCTTCTTGCTTTTTCCTTCTCTCTGGATGCCCCCATGGGATGGGCAAAGCAGTTTTGGGGAGGCTCACACCACCCTCAGCCCTGTGCCTGTGGGGTTCTTGGTGTTCCACTCGACAATTCTGGAAGTTCAGAGAAAACCTGAGGGGTTTAACATCCACTGGGCACACTGCTAACAAAACCAGAGGTTTAAAAGGACACACTGCAGGCCAAGAACTCGCTGCTGCCCCAGGTAAAAGCCCAAATCTGTGTATGCTCCCACCTGTGTGTGTGCTCCCAGTCCCACAGGCTGGGAATGAGCTCCTGCCCTGCCAAAACCAGCAGGATTTTGCTGGAGCCCCCTGTCCTACCTGGCAGAAAGGGGATGATCCTCTGCTTGGGGTCCTTCTGGCCTCCTTCCATGGGGAACTTGTCCAGCATCTGCATCTAGGAAAGGAAATGCAGGAGAGGTGAGGAAAGTCAGGGATTCACTGGCAGGACACTCTGGCCAGGAGGGGAGACAGAACACGCCCAGAGATATCCAACAACCCAATCTCCAAAGCATTCCCTCCATTTTCCTTTGGGAGGAAGAGGAGGGAGATGCAAACTCTCCTTTGGTTTCCCCAGGGCATGGATCTGAAATGTCCCCCAGGATTTCTGCAGCTGCCTGGTGTCCCCAGGGTGCTGAAATGGGTCTGGCAGTCTCTGTTGGAGCTCTGTGCCTACAGAATTCACATTTATGGAAGCACTGGAGATAACCTGCCCAGGAAGTGTCCTGAGCACCTGGAAAGTCCAACCAGCCCTCTGCAGCCCTGCACATGCAGGAGTTACAGTTTTTCCCTTGGATCTCAAACACTGGGATAAATCCTTGAGGTTTGGTGCAGAGGGGACAGATGGAAGGAGGTGTTTTCCCCCAAAGACAACAGGAAAACCAAGAAGAGCTCTCAGAGTGAACACGAGAGAGCTCAGAACCTGTGTGGCACTGAGCACAGCTGGGCTGTGCTCACAGAAAACAGCTGGGAGGTGTTTGGGAGGAAAAAACGTCCCCAGAGCAGCCAGGGAGCATTTCTGGAGGCAATGGGAGCAATCCTGGAGGCACTGGGAGCAAACTGGAAGCACTGGGAGCATTTCTGGAGACACTGGGGGTAATCCTGGATGCACTGGGAGAAAACAGGAACCACTGGGAGCATTTGTGGAGGCACTTTGGGGCAATCCTGGAGGCACTGAGAAAAAACTGGAAGCACTGGCAGCAAACTGGAAGCACTGGGAGCATTTCTGGAGGCACTGGGAGCAATCTGGAGGTACTGGGAGCATTTCTGGAGGCACTGGGAGCTCTCCCAGCCCTGCTGCAGCCCCAGCTGGGGCTGCCTCGCTGGCAGAGCTCTGTGAGCCTCCAAGGCAGGGATGGAGCAGGCTGTGCTCTCCCAGCAGCACGTGCCCGGGCTGTGCCTCTGGCCACATCCTTTCCCAGCCTTGTGATCCCACCAAATCCATCCAGAACTCCAGCCCAGCCCATCTCCATCTCCTTCTGCAAAGCTGCTGCTCAGCCTGGGGACTCTTCCCTTCGTTCCACCCCAGTCAGACCAGCCTGGGCTGGCACCATTCGGCCTGGAGGGAACCAATTGTTGTTTTTTTAATTGCTGGAAGGAGGACAAGGGATTGCAGAGTACCTGGAGCAGCCTGTGGCAGCGAGAGGAAGAGGAGAAGGTGGGGAAGGAGAGGGCAGGGTGTGATCCCGTGGATGCCAGCCAGCCTGGCTGCCACGGCACAGCTCTGGAGGAGGCAGCAAACACCAGCTCATCTGCTCTCCTGGGCACGAGCCTGTGGGAAGGACGGCTGGAAACCTCACTCCAAGGAAAACAAGCCCAGAGCTGGCTGTGAGCAGGGGTGTCGGAACTCCAAATGTCCCTCAGACATTTTTGGAGGTTCCAGGCCTTGGTCAGAAGCATTTGAGACCCTGGCAAGCAGCTGCAAACAGCTGTGATTTTGGGTTTGAACCATGGGATGAGTTACCAACTTTGAAGGTGGAACAAGGAATCACAAAAGTTTACATATTAGAGTAGAAGTAGTCACAAAGTAAAGGGAAGATTTTTTTAGTATTGTACAGGGGGGTTTTAGCACCTGTCCAGGGGGGTTTTTACTTTGTACATGGGGGTCAGAAGTTCTAAGATGGAGGAAAGTGGGCTGATCCTGTTCTTCCTCCTTCTTCTTCCTCGCCTCCATGTTCTTGGTGATGTTGGCACTCACAGATTGGTTTAGAGTAGAAAAGCACCATTTAATATAGGTAATAGGCATTGGGGAAAAACTGTGAACATGTAACACGTAATGT